GGTTCACAAAGTGCTGTGCCTGCCACGAAATCTGCACATCGAGGTTCACAAAGTGCTGTGCCTGCCACGAACTCTGCATGGGGAAAAACAAAAATCACGACTTGAACAAACTTTGGTACACTCGTCTGTCTGTCACACTCGTCTGCAAAGGCCTAAGGAAAAATGCAAAAGGTTGGTGGTCCTTCGAAATCCTCACATTTGGGCTTTGAAGGTGACTGATGTGTCAAACACGGTGTGTAAACACATTAGACAACGCCATACGCACAGCGACGACGATGGAAACGTCGAGGATTTCGGATGGATGCTCCGATTTAGTTTGATTCATGTCCACCTATCTCTGCAGATTAAAATTTTCCCCGCTGGAGTTTCTCCAATGAAGCCTTGGGCAATGTGTTGGCTGCCGCACGCCACCAGCGTAGCATTCAGGCGCACGCGCAGCAGCTGCAGGCCTTGGAGGCAGCAAGGGTGCGAAGCATTGCGGGCTTCGGTGCCGAGGCCGTTTCTTCTGCGGCGCTTCTGGTGCCTGTCTTGCAGCGCTGGCGGGCATCAAACATTTCGGTATTCATGCGCATCCATTGGGACCATTAGGTTTTGGTACTGTCATTGGAAACTACACAGTTCAGGGTATAGAATTCCCCCCCTTCTCAGCACCCACACTAATCGTTAATCGTGATCAATCTAAAGTTCCTTTCTCTCTTTTGGAGGAAGTCTTGAGCACAGAAGTGGCTGGTGTAGAAAACGGGTGCTATCAGGTGTGTGCTTGTCGGCTCCTGGATGATTTGGTTTTGGCGACACGAATCGACACGAAACGGACACGCGCGGCCCGAGTGATGGCGCTGCGCCTTGAAACTCACGGGAAGCTGGACCTCCACCTGCGAAGGCAGCGAAGGTGAAAGCCCAGAAACAGGATGTGGAGGCCGTTGCTTGCAGGAGACGAACCTTTGCAACGAATGAAAAAACAGGCCCGTCTGTCAAGCTCCAGCCCATCCCTACCTTTGATCTTGCGAGAAAGCGAAACGCCTGGGCCGGTGCTTGCGTGGTTCCAGGTCGGCAAGGGCACTTGCTTTGAGACCTGTGAATTTGATTGCTTTTCTTCACTTTTGATACATGATGCATTTAAAACCAACATATAGTTATATTTACATAGTTATAGTTCAGTTATAGCCTACAATCGATCGCATAGTTCGCTTCACGCTTGATGGGTACTGTTCGCTCGCTTGCGAAAAGGGGTACTTGCTCGTCACCTTCATTGACCTTTTTCCAACCATTCATTCATTCATTCATTCATTCATGGACGGCGGGCGGTCGATGTCACAGCGCACAGTGACAGTCGGTAGACCATCGTCAGCTCATCGAAGTGGTCGCGACAATTGTGGCAAGTTCACCAGCCATACTTTCAATTAATTTGTTTTCTCGGGGGCTACTAATGGCTTATGGCGTCAGCAGAGGGGGGCCCATCGCGCAGCTTGTCTTGAATCAACAACAAATCATGAGCATGGATCTCAAGCAGAGCACCTACAGAGTGCTGCACCTCAGTTGGCTATTGCACTCAGGGTGTTCCCTGTTTACCTGAACAGAAAGTAGCAACGCTCCTATTTACTTGAGCCAAAAGTAACCAGGGTACCACTCATGTTTATGAGGGTGTAGAACTCAAATCACCCCACCTGGACACGAGGTGACTTAGGCTCGTGTCCACTTTGAGAACACTTTTGCTCACTGTACAGACAGTCACGTGACAGCTTTCGCTATCGAAGATCGTCCTGAAAGTGCCTCAAAACCCATCGCCTTTAAATGGCGTTCTACTGCCTCACTAGCTA